GTGGCATCTGACTCTTCTCAGATGCTCTGACTATGTGGTGTTCACAAAAATAACTGTCAATCCTCACTAATCTCTGGCTGAGGGTCTTCTTTGTTTCACCCGAGCAAACTCTGGGAGAGCAGCCAAATGACAAACGACAAACTAAGAGCACCGTGTGTGCAGGAGAAGACGTGGCCGGGGGGGGGGGAGGGGGAGGGGGAGGGCTCACCTCTCGGGTGAAGAGCACGGCCGTGTCGTAATGCTCCGGGTGCCTCTGGCTCGTCGGGTTGAAGAGCTGCTGCCAGGAGCAGAAGTTCCTCAGAGCGACGCCCCCGTTGCTGGAGAGCTCCGGGCCGACCTCCTCGTCCTCCACCACCAGCATCTTCACCAGCACCACGCTGACCGAGTTCTTTATGCTGGGGTGCTTGTAAAGCTGGGCGGCCATCGACATCAGGGTCAGAATGTAGTGCTGTGGGGGGGCAATAAGTAACAAACTATTTAGTTCCTTAAGAACACTGAGAATCGCACCAATACTGAGCTTTGGGCTACAAGTTGTACATCTAAGTTATTGCAAATACACATGTTGCCCTTTTGGCCTTTCTTGTTACTTATTGACACCAAATATCCGCTATGCCAACATGTGCTGGGAGAGACGGAGCTGAACGCATGACACTAAAATAAGTTCATTTTTGATTTAGCTTCTACATCACAATGAATGTCTTCTTTTCTAAGGCGTCATTTCCCCAAAGACGTTTTTCCAAGAGCCACACATGTTGTTTTTCTCTGCCTGGGGGGGGGATGTTTGATAAGCCGATCTCCTTTGTGATAAACATGGGAAAACAACCCCTACTTGTCCCTCTAACCTTTGCATATTCACTCCACTGGCGAGGAGCTTTTCAAGTCCAAACAGACTGCAGAGAATGACTGATCTCAGGAATGAGGGATGATTGAAACAACGGATGTTATGTGAGATGAAATGCAGGAAATGGCCCATGAACCGGATCAACAGTGAGGCGTAAACAAGGCGCGCGGCCGCCATTGACGGCCGGTGGATCTTCTCCGTTGCTCGGCAGCCAAATCGTGACCAAAGAGCTCAGGAATGCGTTTCTGCATTGCTTGCATTTCTGTTGCCTGACTTCCCACTCAGCCTGTGGAAAACAGGGAGCCCGCCGGCTTCCTCCCGAGCCTCCTCTTTGCCAAACGTGTTTCATGCAGCGGCGCAGAGAAGACAGATCGCGGTCGTTATGTGTGAAGGAGAAAGGGACCCGAAGGGGGAAAGAGACGCCGTCTGTTTATGTCTGAGCAACTACGGGTTGTTTAGGTTCCCATTAACAGTGCGCGCAGGAAAGAGTGCGTTCGTCGTGTCTGACCTTTACTTCATCTCCATAGAAGTGGGCCATGGTTGAATCAACCACCACCAGGGTCTCGATGAACCGAGGCGCAGAAATGAAGCGTCTCCGGCGAGGTGCCCTCCGTGCGTCACCGTGGCCCCGCGTAAAACTTCCCCCTTTGGGCTTCTCGTCCGCCGCCGCCTCCTGATCCCACGGCAGGGGAACGCCGAGGCTGCGGGCGAACGTCCTCCTCCGGACGACGTGCAGCTGCTCTGCGGAATCGGGCCCCGGGACCCCGCGAAGTTTGGGCTCAATGAAATACTCGTTCCCCTCCGTTACGAAGGAGCCCAAGACGCCAGGAGCACAAACTGACAGCCACCACCGAGCTCTGGTCGTCGTCCACTGTCCCCGAGTAGAAGCAACCCCTGAGCCGTCCCTCGCCCTCCTCCGTGCGGAGATCCGCCGCGGGACGCGCGCCCGGAGCGCCACGTAAAACGCGCTGCCCCGTGAAGTAGGGCGCGATGAATCCGGTGTCCGGGATCAGGGACAGGCTCAGCTCCTTGTCGAATGCGCAGAGGGGAAAACTCGGCCGTTCTTCGCTTCGTTTCCAAAAGCGGCCACTGGTCCTGTGGTTCATCCGAACAGGTACAACGTCCTCAGACTCAAACGGGGCGCGGGGCGCCGCGCGCATTACGCACAGCAGCGCCAAGGCGACGCGCACGGCGGAACGCATCTTCTCCTCTGGAACGGTTTTTTATCACAACGTGTGTCCTTTATCTCTGGTATGTAGTGCGTCTCCTCCAATAAGATCTCTCCAAAGGAAAAGTGATTTGTTTGGACCCCCCCCCGCCGCCCTCCTGACCCCCCCTCAGCCAGTCTTGGTCAAAGTGTGTCTGGTATTTAACGCCAGTCCGTCTCAGTGGTCCTTCCTGGTTCCCTTGTTGTACCTCTCAGCAGCGGCGGTCCGGACACATCGGGGGTATTTTTACTTTCTGCTCTTCTCTGGACACGAGGGGGTTTATTTTTGATCTCCTCCGCTGCTGGAAATTCTCCTCCCACTCGCACTTCACTCGGGATGAAAGGGGTCCAATGAGAACGGGCCGACCCCCTCCTGCCCCCCCCCCCCTTCTGAAATAGCTCGACAACCGCGCTGCTATTATTAACCCGGCGGGCGTGGGACGTCTACGCGACGCGCAGCTGGAGGTCTGCTGCTCGCGGCTGTCGGTGAGTGTCGGGTCCCCGCGGAGCCCCCCACACAGCGCGAGGCGGACTCTCATGGACGGAGGAAGGGGCTGCGCGCGTGTGTCCGTGTTGCGCGTGAACGTGGCACCGACCGCCGCATTGGACACTGAACGAGGATTTAACGCGTTATTAGAGGCACGAGGAGAATACGAGCCTCGAAGTTGCGCTGCTGTTGTTTTTTTACGCCACATTCGCCGCAGAGAAGCATTCTCTGAACAATAAGGGAAATGTGTCTTCAATGGGAAGAATATTAGTGAACTAGTGAAATAATGAGAAGCAACGGATACAATAAACTTGTGATTTATTTGATTTAAAATGAAACGCTGAAACAAACAAACTAGCATTGTTTTGTTTTTGCGTGGACACATGACGCTCAGAGACACAGACACCACGTGATCGGGCCCCCGCACGGCGCAGTTACTCGCGTCCGCCGCCGGGTGGCGTCAGAGGACCGCGCACGCCTTCGTGCGCCCGGGCGCGCGCTGACGCTCCGGTAAACTTCTCGCGCAAACAGGTGTCGCTCTCTGCCCGAGTTCCGCTTCGCTCGTGTCTTTAAACTGTTTTCTTGTACAAGCGCTGGAAGGAAAAAGGAGCCACGTGTCTTTCCAGCTCGGCTTTATTTATTCTCTCTACTCAATTGTGCAATAAATGTTTCTGTAACAGTAAATAAAAGCAGCGCGTGTTTAGTTTTACACTCGGACGCAGGTGCCTTTCATCTAAACCAAGAAACCCAATGTAACCAGGTGGTTTTGTCTTTGTCTCTCTCTGTCTGTCCCCCCTCCCCCCCACGCCTCCCCCCTCGCTCTGTAAACCGGTGGTCAGAGGGGAAGCGGTGCGCGATGGGAGGGCAGCTCGGATGCCTGAGGATACGCGCGCGGAACGCTCCGTGCCATTGCGCGCGACATCCCCACTGCGCGCGGAGCTCGGCGCGCGGGAGCAGCGATGGCCGCGCTCATCACTTGCCTGTTTGTTTTTGCGGAGTTCCTTCTGCACCTTAAAGTCACGCACTGCGAGGAAGTGGATTCCTGCATCCCGGCTCGCGTGGGTCATCACGCGTTCCGCTTCAGCGCATTCGAGCGGGTGCTCCACCTCCGCCTCGCGCCGGACTCCAGCTTCCTCGCGCTGCCAGGCGCCGCGGACCTGCGGGAGTGCTTCTTCTCCGGTACCGTGAACGCGGATCCGGACTCCTTCGCCGCGCTCAGCCTGTGTGAGGGTCTCCGGGGGGGGGTTCTCCTACGACGGCATGGAGTATTTCATTCGCCCCACCGACACCGCAGACGCTGAACATCGGAACTCGTTCAACAGGACGCACGTCATCCACCGCTGGACACGCGCTGCGCACTCCGGCGCGAACCACACCAGCAGGTGCGCCGTCACACCTGACGCAAACTTCAACGGGTCCTTTGAGAACCGCGAGCACCTTGATGGCTTGGCTGCAACTGTGGTAAAAAACCTGGGCAGGTCGAAGAGGTTCGCCTCCATCCCCAGGTTTGTGGAGGTGCTGGTGGTGGCGGATGAATCTATGGCTGCGTTCCACGGGGGCGACCTGAAGCATTACCTCATGACCCTGATGGCTGTGGCGGCCAGGCTTTACAAGCACCCCAGCATCCTCAACTCCATAAACGTGGTGGTGGTGGACTTCATGGTGATAAACGAGGCTGACAAGGGGCCAAAGATCTCCAGCAACGCGGCACTGACGCTGCGCAACTTCTGCTCCTGGCAGAAGAAGCTGAACAAACACAACGACAAGCACCCCGAGTACTGGGACACCGCCATACTGTTCACCAAGCAGGTAAGAGGGTCGCACCCCACAGGTGGGGAGAGCGGACAAGAAAAGGCTGCAGTGCTAAACAGCTTGTGCAGGATTGTGTTATGAGACAATGCCCCCCCCGTCCCCGTCCCCGTCCCCCCCGTCCCCTCAAAGCGCCGAGCATAAGGCAACCTCCAGCTCTACTGAGAGAAGCCAGAGCTTCAGGCTGCGTTCTCTCTGGTCACCACCAGGGGGCGACTCCTCTGGTCCCATAGAAGTCTATGAGAAAAGGACTCCACCTCTCTTGATTCAGGGCGGGGCTACGCTCTGATTGACAGGTTTCAAGACAGCCGCCCCGACCAATATAGCAACTACATCCACTTGTTATATAACAACTATGGTTAGCATGCTAACATTTAGCTCAGGGCAGTTGTAATATGATCAGCTGATCAGTGTTTGCCAAAAAAGGCCAAAAAGTGTCCATAAAACCAATGGGTGTCGTCATGACGACAAACTCCACCTCATATACGCTCCTTTGGTGTCATGTTCTAAAGCTCCGGGTACCCCAGCGTCTCAAACTATGTCATGTGGTTCGAGCGAGACCGCCAATACAAATGTGTGAACGCCCAACTCGGAGGCCTCAAAACGCGGCTCAAACCGGTGGGTGACGTCGTGACCCCGCCCCCTTCTGAAGTGGGGTCAAACTTTTGCGAGGCTGTAAAACGCGTCTGTCGTCGTTAGATTGACTTTGAAACGAGAGAAAACAACTCTGTGTGTGTTCTGCTGTGCATCCATCGGCCCGTGTGCTGCTGTTGCCTCCTTCCTCCTCCAATGAGTCATTGGAAAAGAACAGCTGAGCCAGGTCCCCCTGTTTGGTCGTTAATAGCTGCTTTCCATTAGCTCGGGTTTGGTTCTCGCTCCTGGACTGCAGAGAAACATGCAAAATCACTTCAGGGTCAAAACCTGCCTTTGAAAAAAAGAAAAATATCCCTTATTTACACTGAGGGCAGTTAAATGCAAGAAGTCATGGTTGTCCTCGTAGGGCTCAACGGGTGCAGCTGGCGAGATGGAAAAAGTCTTGTAGAAAAGGTGGTGTGGAATCCACATGGCTGGCAGAAGGTGCCTCGTCACAACACGGGGTGAACAAGTTCCCTCGTGTGTGACTTTTCGCTCATTGTGTAGGAACACAAGGACACTCAGGCTGAGTCACTTTTACGTCGTTGTGTTGCGCGATTACTACGTCACCCAGTGAGCCGAGCCGCCGTGGAGTCACGTGACGCAGGCAGAGGCGTCCGTTCGACTAGTCGGCTGATGTGCGCAAGCTTTTCACATTGAATAAACTGACAAAGTGCGTCAATGGCAAAATATAACGTAACATGGCACGGGATGGTAACAAGCTAGCGTTAGCCCGCTAATAACAGCAGTCAAGCCGTTAGCAAGACTAAGACACGTTTTCATTTACCATTTACATCTGTTGTTTTGGAAGTCGTTTATTTATTTATTTATCAGAGACTGTTTCAGAGTATCACCAAAGTTCATTTAATGGATCCTGAGGGACACATTAAGATCTGGGCCAAATATAATGTAAATCCATCCTCCAGTTGTCTGGATAGCTCACAAAAAACAAACAAAAAAAATGGGCCATAAGTACTTTAATGTCTGCGAATCACAAGTGTAAATAGTTTCAGGTTGCTGTTGAGATTTTTCTGGTTTGAAATGAGGGGGTCTAACATTGCAACCCGGGTCCGACCCAGCCAGGTTCTTCTCTCTTTAACTAAACGCAAGAGGAAGTGAGGTGGGCTATCGGCCCCGACCCTCCATGTGTATTAACAACAGAGCAGCAATAAAGAAACCACGGCGCCATGAGCTTTGCATCAGTCGTCTTTGCTCGAAGCTCAAAACCCATCCAGGCAAAAACACGCTTCTCTTTGCCCTGGTTGGTTGAGATGGAGATGAAAGTGTAAACCAGCTGTTGCGTCCTGCAGGATCTCTGCGGGGCCACGACCTGCGACACGCTCGGGATGGCCGACGTCGGCACCATGTGCGACCCGAAGAGGAGCTGCTCCGTCATCGAGGACGACGGCCTGCCCTCCGCCTTCACCGCGGCGCACGAACTCGGTGAGCGATGCTGTGATTTCACTGTCACGCCGGTCGGTCGGATGATCCCAAATGCAATCTGTTGGTTTTGGTGAAGTGTTGCACTCCACACACCATATAGCCTGTAAGCTGCATCCAACCTGAGCCACAATGTCAGACATTCTGCTTCAACCGACTACCAATCACAGGGCCGGGGGGCCGGGGGGGGATTTGTCTTGTCTGGTTCTTATGAAATAGCTAAGATGAGCAAATATGGATTTAGAAAAAACTAGCTGTGTCATGGTGAGTGTGAAGTCGTTAGGACTCGTCTATTTTTCTAATTTGGGATGTTTGCAGCTTTTTGCAGATTTACCCCCCAAATAAGTAAAAACAGCTGAAAATGAACACTAATAATCCTACGACTGTCAATGAAACCCAAACTTGTGGGTGGTTTTAAACCTCTATGCCAAAATTTGACAAACTGTCTAGTTAAGCTAAATCCTTTTTATTATAAAAGATGTCTTTCAAATTATAATCAGTGTTTGAGGCATTAAAAGAAACCAGATGCACGAGTAACTCCGAGGCCTCCCGAGAGGATCTCAAATACGATAGGTCATGTTTGAAAACACCGTTTTTTTCTTCTTTTGGAAAGTACTTCATGTTCATATTTAAGGAGGAGAACGATTTCCTTGGGAACTAAATTCCCCCGTCGCTTTAGAACATGGACGCGTTCCCATTCATCACCGCATTCCTGTCTGCTATGACATCAGCCTCAATCACTCCGACTCTCTCTGCCTCGGACTCGCGTGAATTTTGCTTCGCTTTCTTCATCTCAGACCTAAACCTAATCCTCGGATTACCTAAGCCTACCTGCTGGTTTAATGGTTTAAACGTCTGTTTCCTACTTTAAAAGACGCCTTGACCCTGACAAACCCCCCCATTGTCCCTCAGGCCACGTCTTCAACATGCCCCACGACAATGTGAAGGCATGTGAGGAGGTATTTGGGAAGCTGAAGGACAACCACATGATGTCTCCCACGCTGATTCAAATCGACAGGAGCCGGCCCTGGTCCGCGTGCAGCGCCGCCATCATTACCCAGTTCCTGGACAGGGGTCATGGTCAGTAAACACTTCCTGTCCACGTCTCTGGACTCCCCACATCTGTCCAGGCTTCACGCTCTCAGCCTGGTTGTAATCTAATTGTGCTCACACACACTATACAGAACTTATATCATATCAAAACGAATCTGTATAAAACAAACACAACGAGCCTCTCGTCGGTCGGAACGACAGGGATCCAACGCAGAGTGCGCCCCCCAGTGGACTTTAGGAATAGCAGATACTTTTATTCATACTGTTCTATTAAGATTTGGGGATTTGAGGCCAGAAACACAACGCAATGACGCACAACGTGGTTGATGACCCCAAGGCTTAATAAATAAACCCGTTTGTTTTTTACCCCTTCTTGCGCGCGTCGAAGATTTTTGAAGAGAGAACGGATCCGATTGAAGAGCTTTTTTTGGAAGAAATGCGTAAATATGAGCGCTTGTACAAGCCGTCATTGGCGGACTATGAGGACGCCGGATGGCCTCTGATTCATGGAGGGAGATCTCCACAAACGAGGGGAACAAAGTCGTGGAGGAAAATACGGGACAAATGTGTCCTTGATGAAAAGCAGCAGTGTGGATGCACGGGGCAATAAAGTCTATGATCAATAAATAAAGCAACCAGCGACTTCCACACACAAAGACGTGACTCTCCAGGTCGTCTTCAACAAAACACGTGACTCCACCTGTTGTTCTGGAGGTGAATCGCTCTGCAACACACGCAGGACTTTTAGATTCATTTAGCTGCAGTTACTGAAGCAAGCCGGCGCCTTTACACAAGTACCCCCCAACGTTTGACAATGGATCCCAACGTTTGCTTGGTGGGTTTCAACGCTTATGTTAAGTCCACCATTACACCAGTTATCTTCTCTAAATTAGACCTGTTGAAGAAAAATATCTTTTCCCTAACGGAACTAAGAGATTTTGATCCAAAAGCACTTTTAAAACCAAGCTCAAATTGCCTTACATTAATTCTGTATCAAAACATTTTTGATGTAAAATCAGAGTATATTTTGTTGTATTTTCATGCTGTGATATTCAGATAAAAAGTATCTATAGTTTCTATTTAATTTCACTTCCCATTATCCGCATTCAATACAACATTCCAAAGTGTATTAATATATTACTCTGCTTTCTCTCCTCAGGGAGTCTGTTTCTGTCTTTAATGCGTAACTGTCGACCAGCTTACTTACTAACGAGCAAATGAGAATTTAGTAAGTTTAACACTGGTGTCTTTTCTGTACGAGTCATCTCCTTAATCTAAACATTATTTGGTGCCTGTTCTATTTAATACTTTTGGAGCTAGTGTTGCTAGCTAGAGAAGAGAAGAGGTGGTTTATCTTCGGTTTAAAATCCGTTAAAAATATCTAGCTGTGTACGCAAGTGTAGGGAATATTCTGCCAGCCAAAGGAAATGTATCACAAACTTTGTCTCTTTAGGAGATTGTCTGCTGGACCAGCCTCAGAAGCAGCTGTCCTTCTCAGACCACATGCCCGGTTCCAGCTACAGTCTACACCGCCAGTGCGAGCTGGCCTTCGGCCCCGGCTCCAAGCCCTGCCCGTACATGCAGCCCTGCACCAAGCTGTGGTGCACCGGAAAGGCCCGCGGCCAGCTGGTGTGCCAAACCCGACACTTCCCCTGGGCAGACGGCACCAGCTGTGGCCACGGGAAGGTCTGCTACCGAGGAGCCTGCACGGACAAGAACAACACCGTGCACGTCAAGGTGAGAGTGTGCAGAAGTTCTGTCCTCCTGGTGGTTTCTCCGGTGTCTCATCACAGATTGGTGTACCTGCTGGGCCTGTGTGTCTCTTGTCCCAGGTGGATGGCCGGTGGGGGAAGTGGGGAGCATTCGGAAGTTGTTCCCGGAGTTGTGGTGGAGGAGTTCAGCTGGCCAGTAGGCAGTGTGACAACCCCGTTCCTCAGAATGGAGGAAGATACTGCTACGGCCTTCGCATCAAGTATTGCTCCTGTAACCTCAACACTTGCCCTAAAAAAGGTAGGCTGGTGTCGGCTTGAGTATGTTCACTCAGTAATACTGTGACCATTTAGCAAACATGTTACCTAGAAACGGTGATTGTTCAAGAAGTTGAAACAACCAAAGACAAGAGAGCAGAAGTGAACCGAATGGATTCAACTTTGTGTTGAGGCCGTACTTTATCGACCAATAATGTAACAGTTCGGGGGTGTTGTCAGGCCAGACGCGCACAACCTGGTCGAGTCGTCAATCTAAAGGGAGGCTGTTTTTTACATCTCCAGGTAAGAGCTTCCGCGAGGAGCAGTGTGAAGCGTTCAATGGTTTGAGCCTGAACACCAACAGACTGGGCTCCACTGTGGCTTGGGTTCCTAAATACTCGGGCATCTCCCCGAAGGACAAATGTAAGCTTATCTGCCGCGCCAACGGGACCGGGTACTTCTACGTCCTGGCTCCAAAGGTACGTAACGGGTTTAACACGTTCACTGTTTCTCAGAGTGACCACAACATACTAATGTGTAGTTTCAGTAATGAACTCTCCAAGGGTACTTTGCAAGTACAACTAATGCTTCGTCTACTGCGGTTTTGAAGCATTGAGTCTGGCATATTGGCCGCCCCCATTTGTTTGTTTTTATCGAATCTGTACTGAGAAGGACGTAGAGACGTCATATGCCGCTCTGGTAGAGAACTGTCAATTAGCGTGTTAAAGCGTCCCCTGCTTCACGGTCTGTTTCACTGTAAATGGACTACAATTTACTGAAACATCATGCTATATTGAAGAAGAGAGATTGAGATAGAGATAAACACAGCATAAACATGTTTAAAATGTTTACTGAGGCAATAAATCAAGAGAGAAGTCATTTTCTCACAGATCACAGGAGCCGCCCCCTGGTGGGCGCAACAGAGAATGCAACTCTAATGGTACGTTGAACGCATTGCCAGCCTTTTGCGCCACAGGTTTACATACAAAGTCTATGCACAGACGCAATGGCGCTGGAGGGACGTGATTTCGGGCGAAGCCACGTCAAACACCCAAACGCAGCAAGCGCGAAAGTTGAAATATTCCATTTTTGGCAACAAAATGCCGTGACAGTGCAGCGCGACAGCGTATCAGTGCCGAGATGCTCCCCATCGCCCTGCAGACAGCGGTATCCAGAGTAGGATGTAGACACATCCTCGTACCTTTATTGCGACCGGTTAGGAAAGAACAAACAGCATACAACCATATGTGCATTTTTACAGCATCCCATCGCTGCACTGAATATAGTACGCTAAAGTGTAGGGTAATTGTACTGTTAAACGATACACTGATACTAAATATAAAGTAATATAAAGGGCGTTTGCTCAATGAGAACGTGTGTGTGGCTCTTAAAAGAGCCGTTTGGTTTTGCTTGAGCATCCGGTGTCAGTTCCCTCGGCATGGAAGTACGATGTGAAGTCTGGTGCCCGATCCGAGCCAACGAGCTAGCAAACGGGCTAACGGTTAGCAGCAAGTACCGGCCGTGATCCAGACGCAGTTCCTGTAGAAGTCGGTGAAATTCACCGAGCTGTCTGCGCCTACGGACGCTTTAGTACAAAAACACGACTCCGTCTGGTCCGACGTGAGTAGAACTTCCACAACAAGTAGAGCGTCGCGGATGATGCGAGGAAAAAACAATGGCGGAAAGTTGATCTGTTTCAGGGTGATAAGCCACGCCCCCTCTCAGTCGCTTTGGGCGGGAATACGCAAACTGATTACAAATGTACAACGAGTCCTGCGGCGCGTTGAGAGCGTTTGAGGCGTTCGGTGTGAACGTAGCTAACGTAGCTAATGTAGCTAACGTAGACATGAAGCCTCGGTTTCACTTTTCAGAACCGGGAGTTTCATATTCGAAGCTGTTTATCAACTGTTGTAATCGGTAATGCAAACCGAAGTTGTCACTGAACACCTCATTGTGGGTCAGAAGCTCATGGGAGGTGTAGATGAACCATTTGTGGAGGCCCTGTGTGGTCACAGAGGTTTGTGGGATTTGTTCCTTGTGAGAGCTGATGTGTGGTGAGAAACATGCAGCGACAGTCACCTCTCAGCTGTGGCTTGTCAGCAACTATTTATGCAACCAGAGAGGAAACAAGCTTGTAGCAGCAATGTTGGCCAGAATCTCGTTTACACTGAGCTCTCCCCGTGGTGACACCTTTCACTTTGTATTTATGTAGCTTTTTGGTTCATCATGTTTGTTTAGTAAGAAGAACACTAACGTGTATATAGTGTTGTGTCCTCACTCTTTCATTCCCTGTTGTTATTGCTGGTCTGGTTTACATGTTATCTACCTTAAGATGTAATATGTGGAAACCCTGCAGGTTGTGGATGGAACGCTCTGCTCTCCTGACACCTCGGCCGTATGCGTTCAAGGGAAATGCATCAAGGCGGGCTGCGATGGCAAGCTGGACTCCAGCAGGAAGTTTGACAAGTGCGGTGTCTGCGGCGGAGACAATCAGGGCTGTAAGAAGGTCTCGGGAATGTTCACCAAACCTGTGTAAGTAGCACAGAGGGTTCCTGAAAGACAACTGAAAAATGTACCCTTCACATTGATGCTCTTTAACCGTACTTAAAGGTATTTTTCACATCTGTTAATTGCATTTACATTTAAAGACGATTCCGGTTCACTAACTCTAACTTCTTGTCCACACTTTTCTTGTAGTCATGGCTACAACTTCGTAGCGACGCTGCCCGTCGGGGCTTCCAACATCGACGTCCGTCAGCGCGGCTACCGGGGGATGGTCAGCGACGAGAACTACTTGGCGGTCAAGAACCGCCACGGCAAGTACCTGCTGAACGGAAACTACGTGGTGTCGGCCGTGGAGCGCGACCTGCTGGTTAAAGGCGCCCTGCTGCGTTACAGCGGCACCTCCTCCGCGGTGGAGATCCTCCAGTCCACCCGGCCGCTGCAGGAGGCTCTGACCGTGGAGGTGCTGTCCGTGGGGAAGATGACTCCTCCCAGGGTTCGATACTCCTTCTACATCGCCAAGGACAGCAAGGAGGACAAGACCCTGCGCAAGGAGGATAAGAGCCACGCGGCGCACAACAGCGTCCTGGCGGACAGCAACCAGGTCGAGGCCGAGGAGCTGATGGCGTCCAAAAGGCCGGTCAGCCACTGGGTGACGGGCAGTTGGGACCCCTGCACCGTCACCTGCGGGAGCGGTCTGCAGAAGAGGCCGGTGCACTGCCAGAGCACCGAGGGGCGTCCGGCGGCGGACTGTAGCGCCGCCGACAGGCCCGCGTCGGCAAGGGCATGCGGCGATCCGTGTCCCGCGTGGGACGCCGGCGGATGGTCCCAGTGCTCCAAGTCCTGCGGGAGGGGCTTCAAAAGGCGGCCGGTGCGCTGCATGACGGAGAACGGCCCGAGTCTACCCAGGGACCACTGCTCCGGGAGGAGGAAGCCTCAGGAGCTGGACCTCTGCAATCTGAAGCCATGTTAGAGCAGAACAGACACAAGCCCGGGACCTATTACTGTCACATGGACGATCTGATGGCAGCGCTCGTGCCGATGATCATCTCCCTGCCATGTTGGGGTGGGAGGTTTCCTCCCCCGCTGCCCCCTCCCCCCCCCGCTACATCGATGGAAAGCCAACCGAGACAAAGGGGTCTCCCTCTGATGTTTGAACGGCTGAAAGTCGTCTTCTTGTAAACTGTCCAACAATCTGCCTCGGGGGTTTCTACTCCGTCGGCCCACCTCCCCCAGAACGGATGTCTGCGCATGTACAGTCAGTCACGCAGGGGGAGGACGTCGTGACGTCGGCACACTGGCGTTTACTGCTACCGTGGCGTGGGATGAACTGAGAGTTCAAAGGGGGGAGGGGGAGCGAGGTATGACCTCACATCCTGCCGTGGACATTTCCTCCAATGAAGAACTACTCACGATGTGAAACGCAGTCCTGCTGGTGTAGAATAATCAAAGAACCAATCTCTCATTGGTCCGTTGGGTCTCTGTAACGTAACCACGGTAACGTCTCCGCCGGCGGCGAGCCGTTTGCTGGCTTGTTGAGACTCGTGTGATGAATCAAACGAACCTGTTTGACTATAGAGGCAAAAACAAAGAGGACAAGTCATGATTTAAAAAACATCCTGTTCCTCTACGTTCTGGGATGGATCAATATCGATATGGATACGTATATATTTGAAAGATAATCCATGAGAAAACTTAAGTATTTCTGTATGTTTACATTCGTTTTCAAATTTAGAAACCTGTAATTGTGCGTTTTTTTGTCACAATGGAGACAAATCTGGTGTAGATTTAGCTAACGCTGGTATACTGAAATAATGTAGGAGTGACATTTGAGTATCATTTCATCGTTTCAGAAGTAAACTTTCCAAATGCTTTTATGAATGACATCAGCTAAACGTGGAACCAAGCTGTTACCTAGCAATGCAATTTAGTTTTACAGGTATAAAATAATGTTATGGAGTTTCTTTTTTTATATTTCATTCATCAGTGAGAGACAAGAGTCTTAAGAGAATCCTTCAAATCTTCACAATTAAAAAAACATGTTTAGGGACAAATAGACAACGGCACAGAGATCATTAAAAATAATACAAATAAGATACATTTCTTTTATTTTCAGCATTGGGGATGTGTAGTAAAATGAGGCTGTACAAAAATAGGAAGAATAAATGAAATCCATTTAATGAAAGTAATAATCTACAGAGGAATCGATTGTTCCTCAGTCAGCCTTCCATGTAAAGGAATTCTTTACTCTCAAGAGTATAAATATTCTAGATATTCAGGGAATGTAGCTTGGTTTGTTCTGTGTAAAAACCAAAGAGTTACAAACTTTAAGGAAGCTTAACTTTAGTTGACTTGTTTCTGAAAGATGAAACCAAAAAGGGAGACATTCAAATGTGATGTTTTTCTGGTTTCCTGATCCCCTTCTGATTATTATTAAACGTGAACACAATGAATGAATGAATGAATGAACGAATAAGCAGTTCAAAGACAGAAAGGAAAAACAAAGCGCAGTCATAAATACCAAAAGTAAGTCTGCGTAGAGTTGAACGAGGCATCACAATAATGGAGGCTTCATATTGCAAAATCACTTTAATCATTAAAAGAAGTAAATGTTTGTAGCGTTTCCTGCGACCTCACAGGCGTTAAGCTGCAGACACTTTTATCCACATCGTTCATTTACAGGTTTTTCTGTAGTCATCTTTCTTTAGCTGTTTGAGGATGAAACTCATTTGAGGGGAAATCAACACGGACTCCTGAAAGACCTGAACGCAAAATGGGTTGTTTTCATCCCATGAATTACTGTTGCTGCACATAGTTAATCAGAACATCAGCAGTCTGTCGGCTCATTTGACATGTTTACCAAATTCACTGCAAGAAAATAATTCCACATCTACTGAGATCCAAACCTTCAGACACTTCCAATTTCACGCTTGGAGGCACCGACATTTCAGAATAGCATAAAACTATTTGTGTTGAGTATCTGGTCCTTTTTAGGAGGAAAATACTCTCCGCTTCAGAGGAACTATTCATTGTTTCTTCTTCTCTTTTTCATATAATGCACAGTTGATGTCTTTTCATATCAGTTGTGTTTTGAATTGTATACTATGTATGCATTTATCTAGCTGTTTAAAATAAAGTATATGTATATAAAGTATATATATACATAGCAATATACTGAATCATTATCCAGGTTTTCTATTCAAATATTTTGAGACAACAGAGGAAATCATATCATACATTTTCTCTTTAGGCTCTTTCTTCTGCACCACGGTTTGGTTTCTTCTCGCAGTGTTCATCACACGAGAGGAGACCTTCAGCTCAAACCGAACATCATTCTTCCTGTTTGGTATTCTGCTGACTCAAGCTGCACCGAGCAAACACGTGGTTAAGAATCTGACTCCAAAAAATGACGTCAAATGTTTTGTGTGCTAAAGCTGCATTCTGTGCAGTGACCAGCAGGGGGCGACTCCTCTGCTCCCATAGACGTCTATGAGGAAATGACTCTACTTCTCTGTAGTGACCAGCAGGGGGCGACTCCTCTGCTCCCATAGACGTCTATGAGGAAATGACTCTACTTCTCTGTAGTGACCAGCAGGGGGCGACTCCTCTGCTCCCATAGACGTCTATGAGGAAATGACTCTACTTCTCTGTAGTGACCAGCAGGGGGCGACTCCTCTGCTCCCATAGACGTCTATGAGGAAATGACTCTACTTCTCTGTAGTGACCAGCAGGGGGCGACTCCTCTGCTCCCATAGACGTCTATGAGGAAATGACTCTACTTCTCTCTGGATTTATTCCCTCAGTAAACATTGTGACAAACATGAGTTCATGGTCTCAGTATCTAGTTTCAAGTCTTCTTCAATACATTAAATATGGTCACTTCCTGTTTGCTGGTGATGGCAACAGACAAAACAATAAACTCGACTTCATTGTGACTACTTACACGATTTAAGAACAAGATGGCCGAATCACCGAACTCGAGGCTTTAAAACTGCTGTTGGATGTTGGAGAAACATATTTATGTTTATTGCCAACAATCATCATTAAAAGACAAAACCAACTTCCAAAAACCAACCAGCCCTCAGTACCAAAAATAAATGCTCTATCTGCCCTTCATCTGGGCAACTTAAGTTGTTTTATTCCTGAGCATGTGAGCTTGTAGAAGAGCAAAGTGGACATGGAGGATTGTGAGTCTGTTTGCACGTAGTCCACCACATCGCACCACATCTGGTGGACCAGATGTGTGGCAGTTTGCTAGAAGCACAAACACTGTTAGCTGTGGTCCAAAGGCCTCCTTTTGCAGCCGCACTGGGGTCACTACCCAGAACACAGCCGTCCGCCCCGCTGAAAGTGACGGAGAGGAGCAACCTTCGTCAGCATCGATTGAACGTGGCGTTTAGGAGGAGCAGACGGTTCCTAATGGAAACGGCAGTGAGTCGTTGTTTGACCTGGTTCTGTTTGTCCAGCAGGAACCTGCTGAGATGTGTTGAGGGATGAGCTGGCAGGACGAGTCTCTCCTACGAACTCAGCATCATCCCCAAAAACGTGACTGCTGATCAAATGTGCATCTTGACGTCGTTCGCATCGCGGAGAAGGAGTGACGCACATTTGGAGGCTGAAGCCGGGACATTACAACCACGGCGTGTCTCTTCTGGCCTTCAGCTCTGATCAGCCGGAGGATCGGCTGCGTGTGTTCATGCAATCAGCCGCTCTGAAGCGCTCTTACCGTGTAATAACCAGACTTCTTTCCCATGTCATGGCCTCAGAGACACACAAATACCTGTTTTTGATCCATGTGTGTGTAATCAGCCGATTCCAGTCCACAGCCTGAGCAAAAGACCCAAACACAAGACGGCAGATTTAAATGGTAAATAAATAGAATATGACACATCTCAGTTTCGGCCTCTCGGCTTGTTATGTTTGCCAGACGTCTTGTTATTCCTGTAAACTCTGCTTTAAGCGTTACAGACGGCGCTGCGGCGAGCTGGTAATGGCGGGCGTGTCCGGGTGGAATCTGTCGAGTTGGGATTCTCGCCCACGAGGAGCGACTCTGGAAATCCAATCAAGCGTCTCGGCCGCTTACGGTTCCGTTCCACCGGCCTCCGACTCCCACCTCCTCTAAAGAACCGCACAGGAGCTCAGTGTCTTCCTGTGTCCCCCCCGTCCCCCCGTACCCCCCTGTCGGAGCCCGTCGCCATTTAAATGGACCCGGGCGGATCAGAGCACTGAGGGTTTGGGTTGTTTCTTTTTAAATCGCAGCGGGCCGGAAATCACATTATCCGCTTTGCACAACGACACAGCGGTGGAGGCGACCGCTGCCAAGACGCCGAGTGGATCCCGATTTACTTCCCCCCCCCATCACCCCCGTCCCCCCCAAACCAGAGGCCCGTCCACCTTTTCAGACGGCGCTGACGGGCTAATGGGCATGAAGGGTTAACGCGGGAACCGCTGAGGCTCTTAAGTCGGCCTTTCTTTACGTCGACTGAACCGCAAAGTCACAGTGACCAGCGAATGAAACGCACGTGGAGGCTGAGCGAGGTGAGGGAACGCAACCCACTTAAGAACCACAACCCTTTTCCTGTGAAAACCGTTTTATTGATTTGGGTCCACAAAGACGTTGTCTTCATTTAAATCAAACCATGGTTTTCGTTGTGTCCTCTTCCGTTTCCCCGTTTGAGTTCCTCTCACTAACTTCTCCTCCACACCGAGTCATATTCGCCCAGAACAATGGAAATAGTCTCGGGGATTATTGTCCTTCAGGGAACATGTTTTATAATCTCTGAGAGCTTTTAACATCTCCATCAGGAGGAAAACACATTCTCTGAGATCATAAAGTCTTTCTATCGAAAAAGTGAAATATTGTCTTTTTCAGATATAAAGTGATAAAAAAGGTGTTGTTGGTCTCCACTTATTGTTATTTACACAAACAAAGAAAAGGACGAAAATGCGAGCAAATACCGACATGAAATACAAACGCTGAGGTTTTGAGGCCGTTAAATGCCGTATTGGCGCCTCTCCCAAATACTTCCTGCTTTCCTCGGTGTCGCCTTGATGGCGACCTCCTCGCTCCTCACAAAGGTTCCGGGCGCCGATTTGTCTCCACGGGGTCCGTCCCCCCCGGCACTCAAACGTCACAAATACCATTCTAGGCCAAACGCTCAGCTGAGAGGAGCCGGAGGATCAGGGTTCCTCCTGCGGCTCCTCCGGCCTGAAGCTGCTCCGTCGCCGACGTCCTGCGGCAGCGGTTCTTTTCACGCTCGCTGCTTTTAGGGGCCCGATCGCGATAACGAAGCAAGTCACGCGCGTTAAGTGCTGATGAGGTTGAGACGAACCTGCTCAGACTCGGGGTTCCGTCCCAGGAATGTTTGCTCAGTGGGAGTAAATCAGTCCGTGTAAGACGCGGAAAGAAGAAACCGGCTTTTAGCATTTAAAAAGAGCGTCACCAAGAAGCCAGCATGATTCCGTCGCCCGGCAAAGACACGCAGGCTGTGTTAGTAGTTGACTCTAAACAGCTTCTGAACCCTGAATAAGATAAGGAGGAAGCCGCCACACATAACTGTGATTTAGGGGGGGGGGGGGGGGGTTCTAGGTACTAGGGGTGACTCACAAACCGAGGAACCGCCAGTAAAGCGGCCTGTCATTTGATGCGGTACGACCTCCACAGAAGAGGTCACCTTCTCTTTATATTTGGTAGTTTTCTTTCTCCCCGATGAAGTGAAACCCCGGTGGAGCTCCGTGGCCCGTCCTTACCCATCGTTACCCACAAGCCCCCTCTGACACGTGTCAATGGGGTCCAAGGGACTTGAATCAATAAACTCAGAGGGCGGAGTGAACAGCGATGACTTAATCCGCCAGAATCTATTGGTGGTGTCGTTCCCCCGAACCGACTCCGTAGGGAAGAATTGCTGATCTTGGACTGGAAACGAGATCCAGTAAATACTCTGACACGTTGATGTGATTTCAGCGGCGTGTGGTTTGGATTACGTGGTTTTACAGTTATTCTTTCATATTCTGTCTCATTTCATCATTATTGAACGTGATGCCGACCGCACGCTGCTCAATGACTCATTTCACCCACATCACACACACAGATTTGTGACGGGTCCCCACATTGTAATCAGATCCGTGTCCCCACATTGTCAAACCTGAAGGTTATTAAATACATGTAGAACAAACAATACAACATTAAAATGGGTAAATAGAATATAAAGTATAAAAGTAAAGGTGGCTCATATTTGTACCCGAGTAGTGTCGCACACACACACACACACACACACACACACACACACACACACACACACACACACACACACACACACACACACACGCACACACACTCTTTGAACATTTAAGCCAGTCTCATAGACCCCCCCTCACCCCCCCTGTGATCTTCCCTCATAATAAACTTCACTTCTTCCTCCTCTCTGCTCCCCACACAAAAAAGGAAAGAATGAACTTAACGAGGACTATATTGGGTTGTTTCCAGCGCCTCATAGATTTAAGTCACCATGGAGACGTTGCAAAATAAGGGCCGGGCTTAGTTGACTCTCCTAAAGTTACAGCAATCATCTCGGCGGTGATGAAAAGCAGCTCATAGAAGAAAAGCCACCAGCTCTTTGCAGTTTCACAGTTTCTTGTCTGTGTTTAAACTCTAAACATGTTCGTCCTTTAGCGGCTGCTCTCCATGTAACAAAGGTCGGTAGCCGAGGTCACGATGCTGAGCGAGACCTTCAGGGTCCTAGAGGGACCACATTCTGCCCCACCGGCACCTTCAGAGAGGAAGAACGGCATGGTCTTCATCACAACACGCTGCGTTTGCGTCACAAAGTTTACACCAGAGCGGCTCGGCCCCCCGCTGGGGGGCAGGGGGGGGCAGGGGGGCCGGGGGCTGTCTCGGGCAGTCAGCCGGCAATCTGGAGGACGTTTCCAGACACACTGGGACAAATTCTGACAGAAATAAAGGAACGTAAGCTCCATAATGTCTGCCTGCTCAGAAAGTGAGCTAGAACTAGCGTTGTGCTCACATCACTTACTGTATAGAAGTAGAGCACGAAGTCGTAGCGAGACCTGTCAATCAGCGTGTAGCCCCGCCCTAAAGCGCCCCCTACTTTATGGTCGGTTTGACTCTAAATGGATCATAATTTACTAAATGAACA